TCTTTATCAACTAATGTCCTTAACTAGTTGTTTGCAACCTTTGTGGTCAATTTTAGGAAGTTGCTTTCAACTCTGTATTTGCTGCTTTCAGCAGATGATGCAGCAAATAATACACGTGTATAGTCTGGGTCAGGGGAGTGGAAGAGTAGTAATTTAAGATTACAGCTTTGCATTGGCTTAGGTTGTAAAAGTTGATTGCATGGGAAATCCAAGACAAATGAGTTGATTGTTACATTTTCCTTTTAAAAGCAGGTTAAACAGGCTGAGTACACATCAGGATAGCAGTCTTATGTCTTAAGTGACCTCAGGGTGTGTTACTAACTTTGGCTGTGAGGTCCAACAAAAGTTCCAGTCTCTTAGAATGTAAGAGAGTTTCATAATATTGTATCACTGCAGTTTTGTAGAAATATTGTAGGATAGAACTGGAGGCTCGATTGTTAGTAATATGTGATAACAGCTGAGATTAAGATCATATTGTATTTTTTATTTTGTTTCAGTTTGGTGTAGGAGCCATTCATCCCCATGATCATTAACCAGGCTGTCATGTTAAAATTGTTGCAATGAAAATAGACTTTTGTAATGAGTGAGTGTATTTCTAAAACGACTGAGAAAACAGCTAGATGTTTAGGGAAAATAGAAGATTAGAACTACTTTATTAAAAAAAATTCCCTTCCATAAGTACAGTTTTTAAGTATGTGTGATAATATTAAGAATAATGAAAAAAAAAAAGAATAATGAAAGGGTATTAGGATTTAATTTTTGAAAAATATTTGGACATCTCTTAGGAAATGACTAAACGTTGTTAACAGTTTTCCAAGAATCACTGCTTGTCTCTCTCTCTTACTCTTTTGATGTTGGGTTTTTGGTTTTTTTGTTTATTTTGTTTTGGTTTTTGGTCTTTTGAGACTGGGCCTCTCTATGTAGTCCTCCCTATCCTGGAGCTCACTCTGCAGACCAGGCTGACCTCTCACAGAGATCCTCCTGCCTCTACCTCCCAAGTACTAGGATTAAAGGTGTGCACCACCATACCCTACTGTATCTTATCTCTTCTTTACTAGTGCTGGACAAAGGGGAATCTTTCCTTGTGTCATGTGTACCCTTACTGTACTGTCTAGAGTAGCAGGTAGCTAACTGCATGTGGCACTGAGTACTTGAAATGTAGCTAGCCCTCAACTGAAGTGTTGACACTGGTAGACAGTGCTAAACTTCGAAGATTTTCTGTAGGGAAAAAATGTCTTGGTTCTTTTTGATTCAGTGTTTGAAATATAATACTTTTGGCATATTAGGTCAGTGAAATGTGGAAAGTAATTCTACTTTTACTGTTTTAATGTAGCTGTTAGAAAGCTTTTAATTACTTAGGTGGTTTGTACCCTAATTCTATTAAAGATGAAACTATTTTTATAATTTGATAGTGTGGTAGTTTTTCATTTCTTAATTTAGCTTTTCTGTGTCTTTTTGTCTTTTTCTTTTTCAGAAGAAAAGCAACAAACAGAAAGGGTTACAAAAGAGATGAATGAATTTATTCACAGAGAGCAAAATAGTTTATCACTGCTAGAAGCAAGTGAAGCAGACGGTGATGTGGTTAATGAAAAGAAAAGAACTCCAAATGAAGCTCCATCAGTTTTAGAGCCCAAAAGAGATCATAAAGGGAAAGAGAAGGAGCGAAGGAGTAGGTCAGGGAGCAGTAGTAGCGGCAGCTCCAGTAGCAATAGCAGGACTAGCAGCAGCAGCAGCAGCTCCGTCTCCAGCTCTTCATACAGCTCCAGCTCAGGCAGCAGCTGCACGTCCTCTCGCTCCTCTTCTCCTAAAAGGAAAAAGAGACATAGTAGGAGCAGGTCTCCCACAGTGAAAGCTAGACGGAGCAGGAGCAGGAGCTACTCTCGCAGAATTAAAATAGACAGCAGCAGGGCTAGGGTAAAGCTAAGAGATAGGAGGAGATCTAATAGAAGTAGCCTTGAAAGAGAAAGACGAAGAAACCGAAGTCCTTCCCGAGACAGACGTAGAAGCAGAAGTCGCTCGAGGGATAGACGAGCCAATCGTTCCAGTCGCAGTAGGAGTCGAGATAGGCGTAAAATTGAGGATCCACGTGGAAATCTTAGTGGGAGCAGTCATAAGCATAAAGGTGAGGCTAAAGAACAAGACAGGAAAAAGGAGAGGAGTCGAAGTGTAGATAAAGACAGGAGGAAGAAAGATAAAGAAAGGGACCGTGAACAGGACAAAAGAAAAGAGAAACAGAAAAGGGAAGAAAAAGATTTTAAATTCAGTAGTCAGGATGATCGGTTAAAAAGGAAGCGAGACAGTGAGAGAATGTTCTGCAGGAGTGGGTCCATATCTGTTAAAGTCATACGACATGACTCTAGACAGGACAGTAAGAAAAACGCTACCAAAGACAGTAAAAAGCATTCAGGTTCTGATTCTAGTGGAAGGAGCAGTTCTGAATCCCCTGGAAGTAGCAAAGAAAAGAAGGCTAAGAAGCCTAAACATAGTCGGTCGCGCTCCATGGAGAAATCTCAAAGGTCTGGTAAGAAGGCAAGCCGCAAACACAAGTCTAAGTCCCGATCAAGGTAGTATACTTTTGAAAGTATTTTGTCTGATTTGTTTTTAAAGTTTTTGAATTTATTCAAATTGAAAGTGTCCTTTCTCTCTCTCTCTTTTATAAACTCAGTTTGGTATTTGTTAAATATTTTTAAATAATGTTAGAAATCCTGTATGAAAGTATTTATTTATATTGCAGATTTTAAGTATAAATACATTTTTATTTTTAAATTTTGTCTTTTCCCGTTTTTTTTTTTCCAGATCAACAACCCCTCCCCGTCGTAAGCGTTGAGGAATGATGTGGCAAGAGTGCCATGATGCTGTTTTTAAAAATTCCATGAGTTTTAAGGGCTTGTCTCATTATAGAGGCACATTGTGGCTGTGGAGGTGAAACCAGATTTTTTTTTTAATTGTGTAAATAGATGTCTTTTTCCAAATGCTGCTCCAAGTTAATAGGATTTCTTTGTATTACATTTTTTCAAGACATAGTACATAATAAGACTATAAATATGCCATTCTCTTTCAGCTGTAATGTTCTTCAAATTATTCTTGAATGTACTGTGATGTCAATAAAGCTCTTCAGTTCATTTTTGTTAAACTCTTGCACCTTAATTTTATGATTTAATCTAAGGAACGTACTTTTATAAAAAGGCAGCTGAAGTTTTGTATAATAGGTTTTAAAGGTTCCTCACATCTTCCCCAAAGAAAATGGTTTTAACCTAATAGTTTGTCAAAGTTTGTAAATTATGCCCATGGACTTTTGTCAAATTCCAATTTTCAGGGTGTGGGAAAGAGCCAGAAAATCACCTTACTTTTCATTTGAAGGCATCTGGTCAGCTTCCTAAACTTTTGGGGCGGTGGGGGGCCTAGGTTTCAAGTAATATATTCTCTATGTGTATAAAATGTGATTCACTCCTGTAAAATGAAATTGCTGCAAACAATCAGGCCATTGCACCAGTAGAACTGTCTGTAATGAATATTTGACACTAACAGTCAAGTCTGGAACTATATAGTCACTCCTGTTACATGCATAACACCTTGGGGTTACCATAGAAATAGGACTTAGGATTCAATATATTTATATTTCTAAACTATAATATGGCCTCAGCTTAATGGAGGAATACTGTGTTATGCAGGATTGTGTCAATTACATAACATTAAAATGGTCTGATTTTGTCAGTTTCCAAAAATTGTGACCAGTGAGTGGTCTAGTGTGAGTCACGGCTTCATGAGTAGTAGGCATTTTGACAAGTGCTCGGCTGCCTCAGGGTCTAAGTTTTTAAGATGATACACTTAAGCAGCAGTAGTTGAATCTCTGGAAACAAGGCTTTTCAATTCTAACTGAAAAAGAAGTGCAAGTGCAGAACACAGAGAAGTTTTAAAGTATTATGCTTTCTTACCAGCAATAGATCATTTTAAAAATAATGCCAGATTTTTGCCAAGATCAGTGTTTCCTTGAAATGAAGACAGAAATAGATTTGTTTGTGTGCGCTTGTACCTCGACATAGCATCTTAATTTTGAGCAGTTATGCATTTATCTAAAGGAAATAAATCTGTGAATAAATGCATGTTTACCAAAATGGCTGTTTACAGTGCATTTAGTTCCAATATTTATGAAGTTGCCATTTCACAGAATAGTTTGGAGTTCTATATAGTTGACTCATCAGTAACACCTGGAGACAAAATGTGCAATATTTTTTATGTAGGTAAGCTAACACAGTGTACCTAATTGAAGAATTCTGATTAATTTGTAATAGATAAGTTGTATAAAATTTTCATACCTTAAAGTGTTTTAGATCAATCTTCAAGTGAAATATTATTTTCAAAATAAAATTCTAATGAAAAATTCTGCTGGCTATGATAAATACATTTTTAGACATACAAATGAGAGCCGAAAGGAATATGCCAGTTTTATTTAATAAATTGCATGCTTTTTATCATTAAATCTGTAATTTTTAAAACCAATGAACTATTCATGATTATTAGTAGATACACCTGTGTTATGATTGTATTTCCATCTGTCATATTTTTATGGAAAGTTCATTATTTATTTTACATGTGACATAGTGTTTATCTGAATGGGAAAATAATTTTAGGATATGGCTTGCATAATTTAGGGTGTGAATGCCAAATCATACATGAAAGCTAATTAGATGTAAACTTTGGTTATGAAATCCTTTAAAAAATGACGCTTTCCAAAAATGAATACCTCCAATATTTGAGACATTCAGTCTGAATTGGTTAATGAGAACTGTTTTTAAGAGATTCTCTTTTGAAAGTCTAGAGAGATGCCTCAGTGGTTAAGAGCACTTGCTGCAGCTCTTACAGAGGACCCAGGTCTGCTTCCCAGCTCACAAGTTCCTAGGTGGCTCATAATCTGCTATAACTCCTGGCCCAGGGGGTAAGACACTCTCTCTAGCCCACACATAACCACACATAACCACACACACACACACACAAGCATAGATTAGAGTGAGCGGTGGATTGATTCCCTTCAGGGCTATTTTAAGTTGCCTCAGCAGGTAAGGATGCTTGCTGCAAATCCTGGTGACCTGAGTAATCCTCAGACCCAAATGGTGGAAGGAGAGAGCCAACTCTGAAAGCTGTTCTTTCATCCCCTTTTCATACCTTAAAGAGTTTTAGATCAATCTTCAAGTGAAATATTATTTTCACTGTAATAATAATATTCTGAGTATTAATATTGTTAAACAAATAATATTGTTCTGTAACCCTCCCACACTTGCTTTGTGCATGCCTGCACATACACAGTAGATGTGGGGAAAAAAGCCTTTTAAAAGATTCAACATTCTCTAGAGTAGGAATTAAAGTGTTTTTGGGGAATACGGGTAGGCCCCACCCCATTAAGATAATGTGATTTGGAAAAGGAAATTAGAAGATTTCTTTCAGGCCCCACATATTGTGCATTTTTTCATTAATGTGTTTGTCTTCTGCCTTTGTAGACTGTCTTGTTGACTACTTTTTCTTTGGTTTTTCAAGACAGTGTTTCTCAGGCTGTCTTGGAACTTGCTCTATACACGAGGCTGGCCTCGAACTCAGAGACCCATCTGCCTATGCCTCCTGAGTGCTGGGATTAAAGGCATGTGCCACTAACTGCCCGGCTTAAAAAACCTATTTAATGTATTGAAATTTCTAAACTGAACTAATTATAATGAATGTGTTAGAATGCCCAAAAAGGGCTGAATTTGGTGTTAGATGCCCTAGGTAGGGAGTTACAGGTGGTTGTAGGTGCTGAAAACTGAACTTGGATCCTCCCCAATTTCTCCAGTTTCCCTTTAAGTTCAGTTTTAAATAGAATTTGGCAGGATAGAGTTTCTCAGAGTTGCCAAGTGATAGACTTTGAGTAAATACAAAAACCCATTCAGCTGAGTAGATGTAGTTCAAAGGATAAAACTTTTATAGACATTAACTTTTACAGACATTATAAACATTCATTTTTGATGAAAAAATGTAGAAAACACACTATGAATGTAAATAGGTGTTGAGTTTTCTAAAATACGTATAAGCTAGTTTACAGCTTGTTCATAAGTTAAACCAGAGTTACTCTAGGATATTTCTGCAACAGTAGCTACATATTGCATTATAGTCAACATGCTTTTGTTTCTGACACAGCTCAGGCTTAATTTGCAGAAAACTTTTTGTTGATGTGCTGGAGTCTAGAAAGCTCTTTGCTTCCTACTAGTATTTAAGGCACATCACCCTTTTGCCTTTGTTGAAATGAAACTGGGAAGGCAGTGGAGCTGTGTAGTATACATTGAATGTAAGTACAATCCATTTACTAAAAGTCTTTAGAATTTTAACCATGTTTGCACCATTGACTTTCCTTGGATCTGTCAATCCAACAAAAACATAAGACATGTTAACTTTTGTATAGAACTTTCTGCCTTCATTTGGAGAAATGGTCATATATCTCCAAACGCAGGAACTCTGAATATGGTACAGCAGCTGAAAAGTCTGCAGCTGCTCTTCCTCGGCTAATATTTTAGCTCAGGAGATGTAAATGAGAGCTCAGTAAATCTCACTGATTCAAAGAATGACACTGCCTGTTGAAAATGTAGAATGATGCCCTAAATTTTAGAATTTTCCTATGCTTTTATGAGGAAAGGCTCTTTTTAAAAAACTGCCTTGTTTGCTTTCTGTTGCTATGATAAAACACTGATCTTTTAAAAAGCAATTTGAGAAAAGCATTTAGAGATTTTAATCCATTATTGAGGGAAGTTAGGGCAAGATCTATAAATTAAAGCTGCTTACTGTCTTGCTTATTCGGCTTTCTGATACAACCCACGACCACTTGCAGGAGGGCTGGACCCTCCCATATAAATCAATCAATATTCCCACTTACAAACCCACCATTCACTCTAATGAAGGCAGTTCAAGTGAGGCTCCACATTCCCTGGTGACTAAAGTGTCAAGCTGACAAAGCATGTGCAGTCAGAATTAAAATGTTACATACTGATCTTCGTCTAAACTGAGTGTTAAGTTTCTTGCTACATATGATGTATCCTGTACAGAATATTAGATCAGTTTCAGAAAATGTACTTTAAATTTGGAATTTCATTCTCTGTGATAATTGAGTGCCTTGGAAGAGAAAGAGTTCTGCTCTCGGACGAAGTGCGTCCATACTTGTGATTTCGAGTATTAGAGTAGGGTCTTTCAAGAATTCACACGTCTCTGGGGAGATACCTGGTAAATAGGAAATCCAAACACAGTGATACGTAGGGGAGGTAAGTAGTAATAGAAGATCTTCATGGCCTTTTTATACTATAAGGAAGATTTTATTGTTTCATTGACGTAATTTGGTAGATGAGCTCGAATTATTTAACAGTGACCACAATTCACATTAACTGTGCTGTAAATTCAAAAGCCGGCAGCAGATGGCGAGTGTGGGCACCGGAACCATTCTGTTGGGGATTTGTTGTGAGGAGGGACCGGAAAAGGAGTGGGATTCTTGTCGCGATGTGGAGAGGTGGAAGGCTGAGCTCTCGTGGGGTTCGTTTTTTAGAAACGCTTGGGTTTGGGTGTCCCAGCGGAGTAGCCCAGCCTCGTGTAACTTCATGGTCGGGTGAGTGTCGGTGTGGAGGTTTTTCCCGAGCCTTTCGTTGTTGCTGGCGGCTCTACGCAGGCGCGGCAGGCAGCGGAGGGCAGTCGCGGGCTCCGTGCTGGTTCAACTTAGAGTGCTTTGCGGCCACCGTCCTCACCCTGGTCGTCCTCCAGGACTAGGTGTTGACCTCCCCAGTGGCTACGATCCTCTAGTTCGCAGAAGCCGAGACAAAGCTGAGAACTGAGGATCTGGGCGTCGCAGAGCGTTTCCCGTGGGCCGCCGCCATGTAGCTTATGACCCTTGTCCTATTTGAACCCTGAGTTTCTTCGACTTGCTGGAGCTTGGAGGTGTTTCTTCCTCTCCTTACCAGATCAAGAAAAACACACCGCTGATCACATAGCGCTGTGTCACTATTTTGTTGCTCACCCCTGCCAAAGAATTTAAGGCATTTATGCTCTTTTGGTTTGGTTTTGGTTTTCTGTCTTAACAGCCCAGGCTGGCCTGGAACTCGGTCCATAGACTAGGCAGGCCTGAACTCACAGAGATCTGCCTCCCGAGTACTGGGATTAAAAGTGTGTGCCTCACCCTGTCTCGAAAAACAAAACAAAACAAAAAAAAAAAAAAAAAGTGTGTGCCTCTACTTCCCGGCAGCCTCGTTTATGCTCTTGATTAATAACAATTCATCCGTTGGAAATAAGATTTAAAAAAAAGTAACTAATTGCATTTGGTGCTGTAGATTTTGAACTTTCGAGTAGTAAGCAGAAAATTAGGTTCATCCTTTACATGAAAATGACTATATATGGTAGTGGTGCTGGGCCCCAAAGGTTAGGGTCTCAAGTGGGCGCCCCAAGAACCCAGACTCCAGTCCAGTTGATGCAACAGCATAAGGATTTATTATATAGAAGGGCTCCTCTGCTCCCAAGAGCAAAAGTCGCAACTTACTGCAGCCCCATGAGGGCTTTTAAAGGAAAACCCCACAAAATCCACAAGATTACAATTCCCATACAATGTCACTTTGATTGATTTATGTCTAGAAGCTAATTTCATAAAATCATTGTCTGGTTACAGAGTGATCACAGAGGGGGATACAGTTATGTCAGTGTGCACATTTTTCTTGAAACCTCAAGGGGGGTATCAGGGTGGGAGTGGAGTTCGCATACAGGTCACGGTGGTCCTACCTGGAACATTTGCAATTTTCCCAGTCACAGTTGAGCACATTTTTTAATAGAAATCTCTTTACATTGTTATATTGTTTCAGGGGTGATTGAGTAGTGGCTCAGTTAGATTGCCTTTGGAACTAGATTTTTAGTTTCTCCTTTCCTGGTACTTGAAGTTTTTTCCTGAGGCTTGGGGGTGTAAGCCTGAAGGGCTAGGGTCTTTCAGTGGTATGGTTGATAATTTTAATATGACAATAAAGGCAACAAAGCCTTCTTAAATCCATTTGTACTCACCTGAAAAAATTATTAGGATAATTTTAAGAGGGCAAGCATTAATCAATATTAGTCATAAACTTGGGAATACATATCCAACGTTAGCAAATTTTAGGGATAGGTGATTGTGTGTCATTTTATCATCTTTTATATGCTTTTATTTTCTAGTTGTTTTTTTTTAAGATTTTTTTTTTTTCAAGATAGGGTTTTTCTGTGTAGCTTTGTGCTTTTCCTGGAACTCTCTTTGGAGACCAGGCTGGCCTTGAACTCACAGAGATCCGCCTGGCTCTGCCTCCCGAGTGCTGGGATTAAAGGCGTGCGCCACCACCGCCCGGCTTTTTTAAGATTTTTATTTTATGTGTATGGGTGCTTTGCTTGTATGTGTGTTTGTGCACTATGTGGGTATCTGGAGCTCTCAGAGGCCAGAAGAAGGCATTGAAGCCCCTGAGACTGGTGTTACTGATGGTATGAGCTGTCCTATTGCTGACAGGAAAGGAAGCCAGGTGCTCTAGAAAAACAATCTGAGCCATCTCTCCAGTCATACACACACACACACACACACACACACACACACACACACACACACACTGTATGCCTTTATAATCAGAAATTTAAAAAAGAACCAATAAAACCTTGTACAAATTTTGTAGGACGAACATGTGATCTGTTCTTGGGACTAGGTAAAGTCTTGAATGAGGTAGAGAACAGATGTGGTTGGAGGGCAGGAAGGAAGCACAGCAGTGGGATCAATTGTGGTGGTATTGTGTTCCCCAAAATATTGTGCATGCTAATAAACTTATCTGGGGTCAGAAACAGAACAGGCACAAAATTAAACATAGAGGTTAGGCAGTGGTAGCACATGCCTTTAATCCTAGCATTCCAGAGGCAGAAATCCCTCTGGATCTCTGTGAGTTCAAGACCACATTGGAAACAGCCAGACATGATGACTCACACCTTTAATCCCAGAAAGTAAGCCTTTAATCCCAGGGAGTGATGGCAGAAAGCAAAAAGATATATAAGGCGTGAAGACCAGAAACTAGAAACATTTGGCTGGTTAAGCTTTTTAGGCTTTGAGCAGCACAGTTCAGCTGAGATCCATTTGGATGAGGACTCAGAAGCTTCCAGTCTGAGGAAACAGGATCAGCTGAGGAACTGGCGAGGTGAGGTAGCTGTGGCTTGTTCTGCTTCTCTGATCTTACAGCATTCACCCCAATAACTGGCATCAGGTTTGATTTTATTAACAAGACTCTTTAAGATTCATGCTACAATCAATGTTTTAGGACATGACAAGTTCATGAAAAGCCATGTATACTCCCAGAAAGTGACCACCTTGAAACAGTTGGAACTCACTATGTAAGTCAAGATGGCCTCGGACTCAAGAGATTTGCCTGCCTCTGCCTCCCAGGTGCTTGAATTAAAGGTGTACATTGCCACACCCAGCTTTTTAATGCGTTTGCGCTGTGTGTGAAAGTGTCTATGAAGGCCAGAAGAGGGCAGCAGAGTCTCCACAACAGGAGTTAGAGGTGTTCGTGAGCTCCCCAGCGTGGATGCTAGAAGCTGACTGGTGCCCACATGGTTGTTCACAACTATCTGTAACTCCAGTCCCAGGAAATTCAATGCCCTCTTCTGACCTCCATGGGCACTGAAAACATGCAGTGCACACAATAAACATGTAGGCAAACACATAAAATTAAAACAACTCTTAACCAGTCTGAGGTCCGCCTGGGCCCTACCATTCCAGGACAGCTGGAATACACTGTGAGATCCCCATCTCAGAACAGCAGCAGCACAAACAAATAGCAACAACAATAGTGAAACTGTGGAGTGTAAGATAAGTATGTAGACCACAAAAAGACAAAAGTAGTATGCAAATGATCGTCATATTTAAGATAAGATACTTTGCCTCCCCTGTGATGAATTAAAACTACATTAGTAAACCATTTTCACCAATTATCAAGGATAAAAATATTTCATGAACATTGTGTGGGTGGTCAGTGTGAGTCACCAGGCACTAGACACTCACTCACATATATTGTCTATAATTTTGTCTACAGGGCTATAAATTGATTCAATGTCTGTGAGTGGCAATTGCAAACTTGTAAATGTGCACACATTTGGACTTTTTTTTTTTTATTTCACCTAAAGGAACATATAGAAAATTATCTATTCAATTCAATCCCATGGTTTGGTATTAGAAAAAAGAAAAAACCCAAATACTCATTAATAGGGAGCTGCTTGAATAAATTATAATATTGCCATGCAATGGATCACTGTCCACTTCTTAATTAAAGCAAAAAGAACCTCTTTATACAGTATTATGAAGCAGTTTCCGAGAAAAACTGGTAGATTTTTTTTAAAGCAAGCTGCGAGAATGCGTGCATGTTATGTCAAACGACAGGAATTGCTACATTCAAGTCATTGCATATGTATAAAAGGTTTCTGAAAGCTTGCAAACAAATCTAGTGACACTGGCTGCCCTGCCCACAAGGAGAGAAACTGGATGGTGACAGTAGACTTGGAGAGATAGCCTGTAGTGGGCTTTATGATTAAAAAGGAAAACTAAGTAATTTAAGACCCACAAATTGCAACAAACAAACAAACAGACAAAAAACTCAAAATGATATCTAGGCTGCTTCCATTCCCTGGCTATCATGAGTAGTTCAGTTATAAATGTGGATGTGAAAGTATTCTGTGCACTGACTTAAGAGTCCTTTGGGTATACACCGAGGAGTGGTGTGGCTGGGTCTAAAGCTGGTTGTTTCTCTTTTTTGAGGAACCTGCACACTGATCTCCACAGCTGCTGCACAAGTTTCCCTGAAAGCTGAGGTTGTAGAATATTTTTTCAAGCTTAGTTGGCCATTTGCCTTTTTGTGACTATCCCCCCCCATGTATCTATTTTGTGTGTTTGGGCACACATATGGAGGTTACATATGGATAACTTACGGGAGCTGGTTCTCTCCGCCATGTGAGTCCTGGGGGAAAACAAGTTTAGTGGGAAGTGCCCTTACCCATTGCTCTGTTTTGTTTTTGTTCTTTTCTGTTCATTACCTTGTTTGTGATTGAATGATTTCAGGAGAGGGGTGATTAATTTGTGTTGTTCTTTATATATCTTGGAAATATATTAATTATATTTACATATATAATTAATTAATCCCTTGTCTATACATACATTTTTTTTTTTTGTAGAATCCTTCTTCCCATTCTGTAGCTGTCTCTTCATACTAGTGTTTATTTCCTTTGTTGTCAGACACTCTTAATTTCTCATAACCCCATTTGTCAGTTTTTGAGATTTTCTGTGATATTGGATTCCTGTTCAGAAAATCTTTCCCTATGCATTGCACTATTTCCCCCATGTTTTCTTTTTAGCACTTTCAGAGTTCTATGTCTTAAATTGAGGACTTTGCTCTGTTTTTAATTGACTTGTGCAGGGAGAGAAAAATACGGACCACGTGTCCCTCTGCATGTGAGAGTCCAGTCTTCCCAGCATTTGGTGAAGAGGTTGGCTTTTTTCCAACGTATGTTTTTGTCAGTGTAGTCGACAATTAGGCGGCTATACCAATGTAGTTTATTTCTGGATCCTCTGTTCAATTC